AGAGCCTTCAGTTTTCAGGCCCCTCTTCTGTGGAACCAGCTTCCAGTTTGGATTCAGGAGACAGACACTATCTCTTGGTGGTCACTGGTACTCCATAAATAAAACTGATGTGAATTTAAACTGATGCTGCAGGTTAATCAATAACTAAACTCAACTCTGTGGTGTTTTGCTGAGTTTACATACTTCAGTCCGGATTCGATGAGGCGGAGGATGTCCCGCCCTCTGAGTTGGAGCTCTGACTGTCTGTCCCACCACGAGGCCTGAAGAGACTCCTGATCTGCTGCTGACAGACTCTTTAAACTCCCCCCTGACAGAAGAGGAGAGACTCTGTTGCTCTTCATGTGATACACATATTCACCCAGCTTCCTCAAACCAGACAAAGCTAACGATGCGTTCAGGGGCTCGGAGTAAAAACGGTTACCCTTCAACACTAATAAAGTGTGTGACCTCTGACCTGTGACCTTGGCCAGGAAGATGAAACGGATCCACTGAGGTCCCTGCTCCTGGATGAGCAGCAAGGTGACTGGCTCACTTTCAAACCCCGCCTCCTCCTTCACCTGCAGACAAAGAGAACCGCAGCTGATGCAGACAAAGCCAGGCTTTCTCTGCATGAGCTGCTTCAACAAAACCTGAAACCAGATCAAAGACATCCCAGCGCTGCTCATCAGCTTTGTATCCGAGTACCCTCACAAAGAAGTGCGTTTGATGCATCGCTCAACACTTCATCTACAGACCAACCAAGCAGCTCGCTCTGCTGTTTGTAGCAGGGTGGTGCTCACAGACAGGACGGAGATCTTTTCACAGCATTACGTCCTCCTGAGCCGAGTCTGGGATGGAAAGCACGAAGTCCTGTGCAGGCCGGCTCGGACTGCTGCTCCTGTGATCCGACACGGATAACAGGAAAAGTGTGACACTGGATTTATAGCTGAAGCAAACCTCTCACATGCTGCTGCTCAACACAGGGCAGCTTTAAATACTGCAGCAGAAATCAGAGGCAACCTGGAAACTCATCGATGTGCAGTCCCTTCTAATGACGGCCTTTAAAAAACCACTAATTTAATTTAAGTTCCATAAAGCTTCAAGTCATCTCCTAAATATCATCTTTAATGAAAGAAAACATGGAAACGGACTTCCGATTTAAACGTCACCGTGATGGCAGCACCTCGAGGTGAATAAAGAAGGACCAAACCACTCTGAGGTGGCAATGACGTGGTAGTTTAACGGTGGGAAACCTCACTGCAAACCTGCTGCCGCACACTGTGATTCAACCCCAGCAAGCAACGGCTGAAATATGGCTGACACTGTGTTACAGGAAATAAAAGACTTTCGCCAAGAAAACAGCACAACTGGGGAGATTAGGGAAGAAATCCTAAAGGTGAGCGCCAGACTGGACGAGGCTGAGGGCAGGATCGAGAACAAACACTCTTACAGGCTCCGCCTCACTCACCTCCCTCTTCATTGCCTCCTCCAGGCTCTCTCCCACCTCCACCCTCCCAGCAGGAAGATACCACTGTTTGTAACAGTCCGGTTTGGCCTCCTGCACCATCAGCACCTCCTCCTGAAGGAGTGTTAATTAATTAAACAATCGATCATTTAAGGGTATTGATGAGACTGAGTGGCTACCTGTGGTGACCTCTGTTCACCTTTTCATTGAAGATGACGGCACAGACGATGTAGGTGACGTTCTTCCTCAGAGTGGCGGGTTTGCTCTGCTCCAGGCCCACATCACACACAGTGACCTCTGACCCCTGCCCACTCAGCAGCCTCTCCACCTGCTCCTCCACCTGCTGCTGTTCCTCAGCTGTCATCTGCATGTCTGTAAGAGGAAGAACAGAGAGCGTCTTCATCAGCTAAAAAAACACCTCAAAGCTGAGGCTGTGACTGCAAGAGGCTCACCTGTGATCCAGGTGTGGCAGAAGCTGGGAGAGCTTCTTACTGTCGGGTCTGAATCCTGAAAACTGTGTTCACTAAAAGTACTTCGTTACTTTCTCCGCAGGTACCGGCGTCATAAATCACGGAAGCCTTCCCCCCGGAAACAGATGCCGGTGATAAACGCACGAGCCCAACTGCTTCAGCTCGCCTGTTTTGACATTTGACTCCAGAAGGTGACACCGGAAGTGCTACTAATCTTCCTGTTCCGCGCCGCCGCAGTAAGAGCTTTTAACCCACTCGAACACCCCCCACGGGCGCGTTGGACGGTACAAATTAAGATGAATACATCAGAAGGTAACTGAGCTCTAACCAATCAGGAGCAGCGTTCTTAAAACGGGTATGAGCTTTTATTTTTCTGTGCGCGTGCTTTATTGTGAAACTCTGACCCGGAAATCACGTGTTTTGTAGTTTGTCCCGGTCGTTGCGACTCAGGCCGGTGTTATAACGCAGTAAGGTCACAGAGAGCCGGGAGACGTACCTGTGACGGTGGATAGGACAAACAGGTGAAGCAGCGGAGCCGGTCCGAACCGGTCCGAACCAGTCTGAGCGGAACTCCGTCAGGTAAACAGGAAGTTGAACTGATCGCGCTGCTGATCAATCCTCTGAGGTCCAGCAGTCGGCTGTGGCTTACTTTCATAAGCTATAGCTGCTGGTAATACTGCGTGTAGTACTATAATATAAGTATTATAGTAATATAAGTAATATAATGATGATACTACTGTATGTTACTGTAAAAACTGTTACTCAGGACGGTCAAAGGATCCAGTCAGAATCCAAAGATCAATTATTTATGTTATTTTAGCTGAAATGTGTTTTAGTGAGACAGACACACCTAAACGCTGTTGTTGTTATAACGTGTGAGCTCAGTTGTCACAGAGAACAATCAGTGATGAGAAAATCAGGAGAGGCGGCAAAAAAGGACGGAGGAAGAATCTTTACTGAAATAAAAACGTGCTTTTACGTGCAGGTCGACACCTGCGTGAACAGTCGGGGCTCGCGTGCACGTTCATGCTTGTGCGGAAATATGAAACACACGAGTTAAAGATCAGACCACATTAATGGAAACAGAGAGAGACAAACACGTGTTCCTTCATCAGAACTCAGGTGAATGCATTCGGAATAAAAACAAGCAGGTAAAAGGAGACATCTGTTATATTCAGTCGGGCTCAGGGGGGACTGTGCTGCTGTTGACCGAGGAGGAGAGGAGGAGAGGAGGAAGGCATGCTAGGAGGCAGACAGAGAGAACATGAGATAAAGAAGGATTATTTTGAACTTTGATTGATGCAAAGCTGTTCTTGCAGGATAGAAATATGGAGCTGCAGGTGAGCAGACGCCTTCTGTTGTGTCTTCATGGTGTCAGTTTTCTCCTGTGAGAGAATAAAATCAGCGACCGTGATGAATCTTCCTGAACGCTGTTTTGTTGTTCGGTTCTCTTTGTGTTCTTCCTGCAGGCAAACGTCTTCTTTAAGACCCTGAATGAGGAGAAACAGGTGAAGCTGAGCCTCGTGGTGTGTTCAGAGTGGGCGTGTGAGGGAGTGCAGCTGGAGACACGCCGCTGTTGGAGCGTCATGTGTGCATAGCTGCTCTCTGATTGGACTCTTGTCTGATGTTGCGGCACAGTAAGCTGCAGAAGCAGGTCCTCGCTCTGTACCGGCAGTTCCTGCGAGCCGGGCAGGACAAACCGGGCTTCCTCCCCCGAATCCGCGACGAGTTCAGAGAGAACTCCCGCATCAAGAAGACGGACGTGATGCACATTGAGTATTTATACCGACGGGGCCAGCGGCAGCTGGAGCAGCTGAGGGACGTCAACACCAAACAGCTGGGCTCCTTCTCCAAACCCAAAGAGCGCGGCTGAAACCGCGTGACCTCCGAAAGACGCCGGCACCGTCAAACTGCTGCCATCGAGCTCAGGAGACGGGCTGTGAAGGTCGCAGCAGGATACAAGCTGCAGTGAAACAAATGTTGACAGTAATGAATTTTATCTGATGTCTGTAACAATAAAATGTGTCTGTGAGGCTTCGTGTCTCCCTCTGGAACATCATTCATGTTGTTTTCATGCGTCTGCACTGCATTCTGGGTAAATGAAGAGTGATGTGACTGTTTTTTTCAGGCATTACAAAGAAAATTAAAAAGTTTGTTTGTTTGTTTCCATGGCAACTGAAACGAGGGAAATCACGTGTTTTCGTTTTTACACAGAAAATTGTTTAAAGCAGCTTAAACGGAGTCAGAGCAGGAGTGGGTTTAACAAATCTGTCGATTTTAGTTTGAATGAAGTGAAATCGATTCATTAGAATCGATTTTTAAATATAAATGTATTTTGCCAGAAACGCCAGAATCTCAGGTTAAAGCTCAAAACTATTTCAGCAAACAGCCGAAACAGTAAATGAGAGCAGAAACATGTAAACACGGAGTGTGGATCGTTCACACCGTCAGGGCTGAAGAACGAAAGCTCAGCGATTCTGATGCTGCAGCTTTTCTCTCTCCAACCAAAATTTACTGAACCTGCAGCAAACGAAGGTCCAAACGATGCTTCACACTTCAAACATCGTCATGAACTCGCTCTGACTTTGGCTTTCACTTCCTGCACAGCTCTCTCTCTCAGTGTCCCAGTTTACCATCAAATCTCTGTTTTCTGCATTATTCTCTGCTTATTGCGCAGCAGTGCTGCTGTGTTCAGCGCCGTCGGCCTCTGACAACAAAGTCTCATTTCTGCCGTTCAAACCGAAGAAATGGAAACTTTTACAAATGACTGCTCAGCTGTGTCTGTAATCAAACCTCTGTAACTTTGCTCTGCTTCACTTCAGCAGCATCAGGTCATGTTCACATGTTGATTCGTGGTTTTCTTCTGTTTTGGATCGACTGCAGTATTTTTTTAAGGTTATCTGTAGACTTGGATGTCTCGAGACCACTTTTACGTGGTCTCGGTCTCGCCGTCTCAGAGAGGGAGATCTCGGGAGATCTGGAGTCAACAGCATCCGTGACACACAACGTAGCGTTGGATGATGTGTCATTTCAAAAGCATCAGCTCTGAGAGCCGTGCTTACAGAGCGCTTTGTAGTGAATCAGACTCGACTCCCACTGAGCGAGAGCCGCTCCTCACTTAATGTCCTTTGGCTGCTCAGCTCTCACACAGTGGCTCAGCTGTGCTCCAATCCCTCCATACTGTGGCCAATCACGTGCGAGGATACAGGATAATATCATTGTGTGAAAAACAGAGAGCGTGAGAGTCACGTGGAGCGTGCGTCTGTCCTCTCAGTGAGTGAGTGAGACAGTGGACAGCGGTGAGGAGGCTGTGCATCGCAAAAACACATAATATGCCCGACACCCGTAAACGAAGCAGCAGTTTAAAGACGTTTTTGTCTCGGTCTTGACTACAAGTCTAGTTATCTGCTATAAAAAGCCAGGCCAGGATGATTTTCTGTTTTATCCTCAGTTCCTCTGACACAAAGGCCTCTGCTGTGATGCTCACACCTCTGATCAACTTTGTTTTATACATAGATATAAAAATATGGAGATGAACTGATAACTGATCAGAATTAGAATATTTCTGACCGTCTGAGTCAAAACGGAATTGAATCGACTTTAGAAATGGAAACCGATGCAGCGCTCAGTCGGAGCTGAGACGCAGCGGCGCTGTGGAGCCGCCGAGCTGCTTCTGAAGCGACGAAGAAGAAGTGATGTAAACAGGAAGTGGGGCATGTACGTCCACAAAAGCTGTCGTGTCGAATTTGTGGATAAATATGAAATTCAGCGAAAGCTGCTGAACACAGAGGAACTGCTGAAGTTTGCTTTAGTTTAATCTCGGGACCTTTTTCTTCGTTTGGGGATTTTTCGCTGTTTTTGGGCCGTTTTCCGGTCATGTCCGGGTCAGCGAACCACACAGGAGAGATGAGCACCGCGCAGTTATTCCAGCAGGTAAATCCGTTTAATCTGATGTGAAACAAATGAAATGTAAACTTTTATCACAGCGTGTGTCACAGTAAATTAAACGTGGCTGGAAAGGTGCGATCAAAACGACCAAAAAGACTTTTAATAAGAACAGAGACAACAACAGGGTCCCTAACAGGGTCACAGGAACATCAAACTATCAACAGAGTCAAATTAAAATCTAACTCAGCTGAAAGGAAAACAGCCACAAATACTCCTGAAGACACA